GTCAGTTCCAACTGACTGCACATGTGAAACCTTTACCTAGACCAAGTAGCTGTTGTCTAAACAGAGCAAGGGAGCACTGTAAGTTTCAAAATCAAGAAAGGAGTGTGTCAGGGATGTATCATTCCTCCATAGCTTTTCAATCTATATACTTAACAGAGCATTCAGGAGGCTAGACTTGATGAAGAAAAATGTCATATCAGGATTGGAGGAAGACTCATAAACAACCTGCATTATGTAGATAATATAACCTTGCTCACTGAAACTGAAGAGGACTTGAAGTTCTTGGTGCAGAAGGTCAAGGACTGAGGCCTTTAGTAAAAAAAATCTGAGTGCATTATTTCCTTCGACTCTTAGTTTGTCAGGGACATTAACCAGAACCTGCTGTCTGCTCCTGGCATCCTTTCTTTCAAACCCATTGTCATAGTTCATCTCCCATAGTGTATAGTGTAAGTGTATCTCCATCCATGTTGGACAGGCTGGTGTCCAGATTGGCAGTGCCTATCAGGAGCTCTGCTGTCTGGAGCACAGTATCCAGCCTGATGGCCAGATGCCAACTGACAAGACCACTAGGGGAGAAGATAACTCCTTTAACACCTCCTTCCGTGAGACTGGTGCTGGCAGTCATGTGCCCAGGACAGTGTTTGTAGACCTGGAACCTGGAATCATTGATGAAGTTCGCACTGGCACCTACTGCCAGCTCTTCTACCCTGAACAGTACATCACAAGCAAGGGAGATGCTGCCAATAACTGCCCGTGGGCACTACACCATCAGCAAGGAGATCATTGACCTTGTCTTGAACAGAGTTAGAAAACTGGCTGACCCGTGTACAGATCATCAGGGCTTCGTTTTCCACAGCTTTGGTGGGGAAACCAGTTCTGGCTTCATATCTCTGCTGTTGGAATACTTGTCTGTTGATTATGGCAAGAAGTCCAACCTGGAATTCTCTATTTATCCAGCCCCCCAGGTTTCCACAGCTGTGGTCGAGCCCTACAGTTCTGTTCTCACTATCCACCCACCTTGGAGCCACTCAGATTGTGCCTTCATTTTGGGCAATGAGGCTATCTATGACGTTTGCTGCAGAAACATTGATATTGAATGCCCAACCTACACTAACCTTAACCATCTTATTAGTCAGATCATGTCCTCCTCTCAGATTTGATGGTGCCCTGAATGTGGCTCTGACAGAATTCCAGACCAACTTGGTGCACTATCCCCACATCCGCTTCCCTCTGGTCACATACAACCCTATTATCTTTGCTGAGAAAGCTTATTATGAACTTTCTGTAGCAAAGATTTCCAGTGCTGGCTTTGAGCCTGCCAACCAAATGGTAAAATGTGACCCTCACCATAGTAAATACATGACTTGCGGCCTTTTGTATTGAGGTGCTGTGGTTCCCAAAGATGTCAGTGCTGCCATTGCCACTACTAAGACCAAACACAGCATCCAGTTTGTAGATTGATGCCCCATTGGCTTCAAGGCTGATATTAATTACCAGCCTCCCACTGTGGTTCCTGGTGGTGATCTGGCCAAAGTACAGCGAGCTGTGTGCGTGCTGAGCAACACCATATTCATTGCAGAGGCCTGGATTCACCTGCATCACAAGTGTGCTCTGAAGTATGTCAAGTGTGCCTTTGTTCACTGGTACATGGGTGAGGGGATTGAGAAAGGAAAATTTTCTGAGGCCCATAAGGCATGGTTGTCCTAGAGAGAGATTATAAGGAAGTATGGATTCTGTTGAAGGAGAGAACATAGAAGAAGAGTACTAATTCCTTTCAGCATATCACACTCAGAATTGACAAAGCTTTCTGGCTAGATTATCAATGTAATCATGTCTTCTTTTTCCACGTGTTTCTGTAAGGTTTTCCATCATGTCTCAAAGTAAAAACCAAAAAGCATTTAATGGGGGGAAACCTAACCACCATGACAGTAGATGGAGAAAGGATTAAAGTTGTAACTATTTCATCTTGTTCTGATCCACAATCACCATCCTTGGCACAACCAGTTGTTGTTAAGTGCCGCCGAGTCGCAGGTGATTCATAGTGACCCTGTGAAGGAGAGTCCTCGACGCTTGGGTGCCTTTCATCCTCTCTCCAGGTTCATAAGACAACCAGTTAGGAAATAAAAAAATGAATTGCATTGGGAAATTTTGATGTCGGGGACCTCTCCAGAATGCAGTAATGTCATTCTAAATATTGAAGTACACCTGATACAAGCTATGGTCTTCTCAGTTGCTTGTTATATGCCTGAGAGCTGGACAGTGACTAAAAATGACAAAAGAAGAATTGATGCTTTTGAGCTATGGTGTTCAAGAATACTATTGAACATACCACTGACTGCCAGGAAAACAAACAGGTCTATCCTGGAGAGGGTAAAACTAGATTGTTTCATGGAAGCACGATTTTTTGAAACTTCATTTTACCTACTTTGGGCATGTTGTCAGGAGAGGTCAGTCCTTGGAGAAAAGCATCATGATTGGAAGAGTAGAAGGTCAGTGCAAGAGAAGTAGACCCTGGATGAGATGGATTGCCCTGGTGATAGTGGCAATGGGGTCAGGTGGGTCTGAGACAGTGAGGTTGGATTAGGATAGGGCGAGGTTCAGAGCCTTTGCTCTTGGGTCACTGTGAGTCATGGTCAACATGACAGCATATAAAACAAACCACCAGAGCTCCCTGTGAATATGTGTAATGACTCTCAAATTAAATAAATTTCAAACTACAAAAGTAAATCAAACTTTATAAGAACAAACCACCCTGAATTAACATCAGAGAATACCAGAATCTAAGAGGGAATGGTTGAGCATATAGAATGGCTAAATAAGAGGTAAGAATTTGGATTGTTAGTAATATTGTATTCTTTTATCTAATTATTGCAGATTGTATACTAGTATATCAAGACTCAGTTAAAGTCTTTAAAGTTCTTTTCAAGTTGGCTGTGAAAAAATGAATGTTTCTTCATCCTCAGCATCCTTTACAGAATCATAGAAATTTAGAACTGGAAGGGATCTATAACCAATTCTCTTCAGCTAAATAAAGATAAGATTGTGTCCTAAAGGAAAGATAGGCTGAAGATTTTAGAATTTGATAGGGCAACTTAAATAGTAGTAGTTGAAATATAATGTTGCTTCAAGTGGGGACAAATATTGAGAGGAAAAATATTCCTTATCCTTCATTAAAAGGGGCTGAAATCCATTTTCAAAATAAGTAATTATTAAAAGATAATCTCATGGGATATATGTGAGAATAAATAGTAACTTGTAAAATATAGTGTGAATTAGTTACTGAATATTAAGCTGCGAAGTAAAAAGCAGATTTTAATATAAAGAACTGCTCAGTGCGTGAAATCGAGGTCATATGTGCCGATGTACAAATACGGGAAGTAAATAAATGGTATACTTTGAAGCTGGTGAGACTTAAATGATAAGTGTTGGAATTTTAATTGCTGTTCTTTTAAAAGTTGAGTCCCCTTATTACTTCTGTTATATAAGGGAGGAGGGGAATCCTGATCCAAGCATAGATTTTCTAGACCCTTTTCAGCTTGTACTCCTTAAAGATGAGGAGCGAGGAGCAAGCTGTCTATTGTTTTCTCTTCTTGAGCAGGACCGGATGATCAATGTCCTTTTCTATGATTAATCTCCCCCTGCATTGATTTGAGTGAGAGAAGCCCTTGTAAAGAATATGTCATAAGTTAAATGCATCTGCCTGGGTGTCTGTCCTGCCTGAGGTCATAATACTATGACAGCATTTCATTCTCTCAACATCTTAAATACAGATGTTTAGTTTTAAGTTTAAAAGTCAGGAATAGTATCCTTTTATTAACAGTATTGATGATTGATTTGGAATGTTTTTACTTCAAAAAGCCAGATCTCCTGGTGGGTGGAATTTTATGAAGCACCTGTTGAGCTTTAGGGAGGAGGGACTTTTTGGCAGCAACCCAAAATATATACTTAAACAATGAGCCTGCCAAACTCAGGAAATTATAAAACAGTTTTGAAATTGCAGAATCTGCTTTTTTATTACCCCTCAAGGTTTCTTTTTCAGCGTGGTTATAAGTTCTTTCACATGGGATTTACTAATGTTCTTAGTACATAAAGACCAGGTTCAGAAAAATAAAAGCCGGTTTGGAGATGGCAAGTTTATATGATAAAGCGCTGTTAAGAGTAGAACCTACACCACCTGGCAGAGAGTCTGGAGTCGCCCACCAAAGCCTTTTGGAGCAGTGTGTTGCTGAAGGTCTTTAAGTAGCATTGCCTGTCATGTCTCCAGTTTTTCTCTGTAAAGTTAACTCTAAGACTTGGTATGTGGAGAGTCACTGGATGAAAGCTGTCCCCAAAAGTGTGAATACGCAGGACCCTGCTGTGGGAATGCTTCTCAGAGAATTCCACTTAACCTGGGTGTTTCAGCTATGCTTTCCCTCAGATTGACTGTTTCTGCTTCTTCCAAAATCTAACGCAGGGACTGAGGATAAGATAAGCCGACAATAGGATACTTGCATACTATTGGATTTTTTAAATTCCATTTGCATTTCATAATTGTATTATGTTAAGCAGCACTATCTTCTTTTCTTCCTTTCTAAATTTAGCTGTTCTGAATTTTCTGATTCCATCATGAATAGAGAGCAAGAATCATTTGAGTTTGAGCATTCCCTACACAATCAAGGAGCCTGGGCAAATGGTGGTTGATGACCCTGGCACAGAAGTGAGAACATGATCTGAACATACGTTATCTCCAGGTTCTCAAAGACTTGAGATTGGAATTAGTATTCATTTCTCAAGTTTCTCCCAGGGAAACCATTTTTACTGTCATTCCATTACTTTGAGTAAAAAATGGCTGATTTTATGGTTGGATTCTATGATTATTTCTTCCCCCCGCCACCCTCCACCCAGTTTCTTCAGTACTTTGACTGGCAGCATCAACTTTCCTATTAAATTTCAAGGAATGGGAGTTTAAAGAACCTAGTCTATTACTGTAAAGAAATTTGATTTTTTTTTTGTTCCTATAGGACACCCATCCTGTTTGAAATTTTGTCCCGAATTAACAACAAATGTAAAAGCCTTAAGGTGGCAGTGTATCGAGTGCAAGACATGCAGTGCATGTAGAATCCAAGGCAAAAATGCAGTAAGTATCCCTCTCAACAGCCCTTCTCTAGGTCAAGGGTTAATTCACAGAGCTAAGGATTTTCCCGTTGTCAAGTTTAAAATACATGTTATACCTGTCAGGAGAGATCTTCATATTTCTTCATTATAATTTACTATTGTTCATAAAATGGGAATTTTGGCTTTTTACACTTGGTTTCTGTTTCACTTTGCCTCTCCTATATTTTATTACAGGATAATATGCTTTTTTGTGACTCTTGTGATCGAGGATTCCATATGGAATGCTGTGACCCACCACTTTCCAGAATGCCAAAAGGTGAACTCTTAAACTGTATTAAAAATGCACTTTTACAATACTTGTTAGCCTTTTCTGAATGCCTAACAGCTCATAGGTATACATATTCCCTAAGCAAGTTTTTCATCCCTGCTACCCTCCCTGGGCTAATGGGTTTGTCACTGGCTGTGCACATGTTTGGGGTAGTTATGACTCTAATTCAGACACATGTATGAGAAAGACTGCCTTAGCCTCAAATCACTCCCCTATGAGAAAAAATTAATATAAAAAGCAGGTTGCAAGTCTAGAATACTCTGTATGTATTGGGTAATGGAGTGCACAGAGGTATGATACTACAGATTTTTGATGGTTGTGAGAATAATGATTTCCCTAAGTCTTGCAACAAGAAACTCACATTTTTTTTAAACTTCAGATATTATTTTGACTTAAAAAAATTTAGGTAAGCCAACGGAATAAAAAGAGAAATCATTTGGAAATTCCTTCTCAATTCAGCCAAACTCTTTAAAAGAGAAATGAAGCTTCTGTGTATACATTTTTGCAACTTTTTTTTTCTACCCTCTTAATAATAGATTATAGCCTTTCTGCATCATTAAAATGTTCTCCTAAACCTAAATTTTAGTGAGTATGTAGAACCCTCTGATAGAAAGCAGGACTTAGAAATCACACCTGTGGACCACAAGAATGCCAGTTGTCCCAGTGGTTTTTAATTTGAGTCCTTCAGGACACCCCTGCTTCCATTTGCCACAGTCTCTCTGCTCACTGTTGTCTTACATCCCAGCTTAAGTTAGTCATGTGCATTATACCTGAGTAGTTCATAAAGATATTTGATTTCACGTTTCCATGAATAAGTGAGCCATCATTCATTTAACCAGTCCCCTATCCCTATGGTGGATATCACAAATGTTTTAAATGCACAATTATTTCCTTAAGATAAATTCCAAGGGGAGAAATTGCTGGATCAAAGACTATATATACATGAAAGACTATATCAGTTTTCATCCTAACCATTCATTCATCTGTGAATACCTGGGTGTTTTGTTTTTTTTTAACTATGGCAGACACACTTATTTTTTAAATATTTTAAAATCAGCTACATCTTGTAGTTATGCCTTTGATTCAATTAAAACTTGATAGTTGAATTTTTTTTATCAACTTAATAATAGAAAAAGGTATCTGATAATTTTTTTTTCTGTGAAGTCAGGCTGCTCCTTGAAGGCAAGGATTCTGAAGCTTTGTCTGACATATTTTGGACATGTTGCAAGGAGGGACCAGTCCTTGGAGAGGGACGTCATGCTTGGGAGGGTGGCGGGACAGCACAGGTGACCTCATCAAGTGATGGGGTAATTGGGATAGGTGTGTCAGAGACATTAAGTTTGGCACAGGATAGAGCAGGGTTTCGGGCTGTTGTACATAGGGTTGCTGTGTGTCATAGGCAACTCATTGGCACATAACCGTGAGAGGAAACATTTTTTATACTATAGACCATTTATCATCTTTTACAAAACTCTGTTTTTATCCATTGGTCACTTTTTCTCTTGAAGGTTTCACCTTTTTCTTACTAGTTTGCAGAAATTGTTTATATTTTTATATAGTTATTATATCTGTGGAACAGTCTCTCTATGGTTTTAAATACCAGGCATACTTAAATTATATAAATATCCACAGTTGAGGTAGTTTAGCATTTTTTTATATTATGATATTTAATCTACCTAGAATTTATTTCTGTAACAAATAGGAAATAATTTTATTACTTCCAGATGGGTAGCTATTCTATTACCACGTGTACCACTTACTGAATAATTTCATCCTTTCCCCATTGGTTTGAAAGATGACTTCTTTCATATGCTAAACTTTTTTCTAGATTTAAGTTGTTCTAGTTTTTCAGTTTTTTATTCATTGATCTGTATCCCTATACCAGATCTTATTTTCATTATCAAAATGAGTTCATATTTAATGTTACAGCTTCAAATTTATAGTGATAATTTTTTTGGAGGGTTTACGATTTCCAGAAAAAGACGGTAGAATGATTTTTTTTCTTGACATCTCAGAAATTTGTAGAATTAATTATAACTTTCTCACCCCAAATCAGGGATGCATTTTCCTGTGAGTTTATGTGAAAGGTAGAGTTTGGGGACAAATGGGGAACATAGGTTCTGAGATAAGGGCAGCCATCTGCTTTTACCTGGACCTTTAATGATAACTTCCTGAGGAGAATGAAAGAGAATGGACCACTTTTTAGAAAAAGATCCACATATAAACATCCTTGGACAGCTTACTAAAAGCTGTATTTATATTTAATATCTTCTCCTATAATGAAGCATTAAAATATTTTTCTCATATATATATATATATCCATTCAGGGATGTGGATTTGCCAAGTCTGCAGACCAAAGAAAAAGGGAAGAAAACTGCTTCATGAGAAAGCTGCACAAATAAAACGACGATATGCAAAGCCCATTGGACGGCCGAAAAACCAGTTCAAGCAACGCTTGTTGTAGGTTGAGATCTTATCAAAAGCTTTTTTAAAAAAAATCTTGTGCTTTAATGTATAGGAGATTATAGGCTCCCTTAAATTCTGTTAAGCCTTTTAGCATAATTTTTTACACTCAAAAGATGAAGACAATTTTTTTCTTTTTGCCTAAGCTATGATAATTTTTGAAAAAAACCCTTTTAATTGACATTTTGAGGTCTCCTGTTGCCAGTAGACATTCTACTGTGTGGCATTTTTAAAGCAGTAGGATAGAAGCAGAATGGAAGGCTTGGAAAGAGTTGTTTAGTGTTGTCTGGATATTAGAAGAACTTAATTGTATTATTTTCATAGGAATTTTAAAACAAAGAAGGGACTTGTCTTACGATGACTCTCTTTTGTAGCTCTAGATAGTATTTTTAAGAGATACCTTTCTCTTCTGATGCTAATTTAGAATCACAACTTTTGAAAAATCTTTTTGTCAGATAGTAGTTTCTGAGAAACCAGCAAACCTGATGTTTACCTTACTGATTTACTAAGAGGCATTTGACACATGTACTCATGTGCAGGCACACATACAAAATAATGTATTTTTAGTGGCCCACAGAGTTACTGTGTAACCATGTAATAGCTCTGCTATTCCGTCATATGAAACAAACCAGCCCAACCCACTGTCGTTTAGTCAGTGCTGACAGACAGTGACCCTGGAGGACAGAATAGAGCTGCCTTACGGGGTATCTAAAGCTGTAAATCTCCACAGAAGCAGACTGCTATGTAATGTCTTTCTCATCTGGAGTGTCTGATAAAGTTTAAACCTCCAACCTTTCCATTAGCCCCCTAAGCCCTTCAGCCACTGCAAACAAGAAAACCCCTTATTGCTGACAAGTTGGAACTGACACCTCTCTCCACCCCGTTGGGTTTTCAGAGGCTGTAAATTGCCTATCTTTCTTCCCTGGATCAGCTGTTGGGTGGATAAACACCACCTGGCTTTGGGTTGACCACACAACTCTTTATCTACTGGGCCACCAGCTCCTTAGATGTAACCTCTGTATATAGACCAGGCCTCTGAACACTTGACTGCATCTGACAATAGATTGAGTATACATTTTTACCATCATCATTAAGTAAAATGTTTGCAAATAAAATCAATAGTCATTTATATCAGAAGCAATCCTGTTAATGAACCATAACCATCACTTTACAATGACTTAGGATCTTTGTAGTAGAGGAATAAATAAATTCTCTACACAGTGTGGACAGTGACCAAGAATCTTACCTTTTTTCCTTAAAGCAGTTCATTATATTGCTTGCTCTCGAAAAATAGTCTCTCCCTGCACCTTTATCTCCCAAAGAAAGAAAAGGGCTTCTTTCTAGTGTTTTCTAAGAAATTATATAAGAATTCTTGAACTAATAGACATTTTTAAATGGTATTTTTGTTCATTTCAGGAGGCAAATCTAGAACATTTATTCATAAAATCTCATATTAGCATCATTTGAAAAAGAGATTGTAGTTTTTGTATTCATCTTGTGTAAGCATTGTTCTTGAAATGGGGACCATATCCTCAGGGCCCAATTAAGGGGGGAAAAAACTCTAAATTAGGATATAAACTTTCTAAACAAAGAACACTGCTGAAAATTGCATCTGGCACCAATCCTAACTTTTTGTTTGTCCAAAATTGTCCTTTGAGCTTAGGAATTTTTAAGACAGTCTAGGGAGTTTTCCTTTTTACATGCTTTATAAGCATGTTGTCCTTTCTGGGCAATCGATTCCAGATGAAACATTTCAGATTGGATGAAATCTTTTTGTTGATAATACCGCATCTCCTAGCGACACTCAAGATCTTTGGTGTTAGCCTGATTTGGCTGAATCAGTGTCTTCAGACAAGGGCCAGCCTCTGACATTTGTGCTTCTCCAAATGAGACTCCCAGTCTGTCCTGATGTGGGAATTTCATCATTAAATCTACATATTCAAATGACCACTAAAACTTGCTAGATTCTATTTCTCATATTTAGATATTTTTATAACTAAATATCCTATCATCATTAAGATCTCAGTTCTTCAATATTAAGCCTTTTGCTAAGTTGGTAATTTCAAAAGAACATTCTTGCACGCTAACACTGCCTTAATTCATATGCAGATGTTTCTAGTGTATAATATTTTACTGAAAAATGGGTTTCTTTGCAAACCCTAGCCTGAGGTGAAAGCAGGCAGATGCTCTTCATATATGCAGCTGCCTCAGTCACATGACCTCCTATCTCTGACCACGTACATAGCAGTATGGGCAGAACTGAGTGTCAGATGGACTCACATAGCAGTCAGAGCCATGTGTACATAGACTTCGATGCCAGGTGTCTGATGATGGCCATGGTAAATGTGCTGCTTCTTCACCAGACTTTCCATGTCATGTCTGACCTGCTGTAGCTTTTCTTTAACCATTACTTTAGTTTTTTGCTATTGTCTTTTTTTCAGCAATATTTTATGCTGTAATTACTTTTCCTCTCTTCTAAGAGAGTATTATTAGCTATCTTTCCATCCTACGCATAAACTGCTAAGTGGGAGAGAATTTCTTTCACAGTTTTCTCTTTGTTTGTGTGTTTTATTTTTTAAGTACAGATTTATAGACATATCCAAATTCTACTTGTATAAATTGAATTTAAAATGCTTTTAACTAGAGTTAAGATAAACATATCCTTTTGCTTCTGAACAACACATTTGGTTTGCTTTAGAACTTAAGAGACCCAAGAAACCTAGTTAATCTTGATAACATAATAAATAAGTTAACTTCCACTAAAGGGAAGAAGCTGCACTGCAATTTCAAAGGCAGGCAGTTCAAGGCCACCAGCTGCTCTGTGGGAGAAGGATGGACAGTCTCCTCCCTTGAGGTTAACTGCTTCTGAAAAACCTGCCAGAAGGTTGGCTGTGGGTCAGTTTCAACTCAGCAGTACCCAGCAACAACATACTTAAAGCATCTAATATTCTTTTAGTCTCTTCAAATTTTTTTTCCACTTATATTGTCCTTGGGTCCACATTCCTCCAGTACCTGTTGGAGGGGCACTGGGAGAATCATGACATGCAAATACATGCCTTTCCCCCCCCTTTTTAAATCAGAGAAACACCCAAGTGATGGCCCACACAAAGAAGTAGTTCTTAGCGTTGCAGTGCAGTCTCTTAATCTTAGCACATTGAATGCATCTAATTATTATAAAATTGTTTTTAGATACTTTATATTCTCTAAATGCTGATACTATTCTCTAAATTTTTGCCTAGGTCTGTAACCAGTGATGAAGGATCCATGAATGCATTCACAGGAAGGGGGTCACCTGGTAGGGGTCAAAAGACTAAAGTCTGTACCACACCTTCATCTGGTCATGCTGCATCTGGGAAGGACTCAAGCAGCAGATTGGCTGTTACAGACCCCACTCGGCCTGGTGCCACCACCAAAACCACCACCACCTCCACCTCCATTTCTGCCTCCACACTTAAACTTAACAAGAAAACCAAAGGGCTCATTGATGGCCTTACTAAGTTTTTTACACCATCACCTGATGGTCGCAGATCACGAGGTGAAATAATAGACTTCTCAAAGCACTATCGTCCAAGGAAAAAGGGCTCTCAGAAACAGTCATGCACTTCTCAGGTGTTGGCTACAGGTACCACACGAAAGCTAAAACCTCCACCTTCTTCACTTCTGCCCCCCACCCCCATCTCGGGTCAGAGCCCCTGTTCACAAAAGTCCAGCGCTTGCACCTCTTCTGCCTCCCCCCAGAGTTCCTCCAGCCAGTCTAGCGTGCCCTCCTGTAGCAGTTTTACTAATAACAGCCAGCTGAAGGCACTCTTTGACGGACTCTCTCATATCTATACCACCCAGGGACAGTCTCGGCAAAAGGGACACCCAAGTTATGCGCCACCCAAACGTATGCGTCGTAAAACTGAATTCTCTTCCACGGCAAAATCTAAAGCCCATTTCTTTGGAAAAAGAGATATTAGAAGTAGGTTTATTTCTCATGCCACCTCTTCTAGCTGGGGGATGGCTAGAGGACGTATTTTTAAAGCATTTGCTCACTTCAAGCGAACAACTTTTCTTAAAAAGCACAGGATGCTAGGCAGATTAAAATATAAAGTGACCCCTCAGATGGGGACCCCCTCACCAGGGAAGGGGAGCTTGGCAGACGGAAGGATTAAACCTGATCAGGATGATGGTAAGCAAAAGGTCAAAGATCCAACCAAATCTGCGCCCGACCCTTTATCCCCAACCCAGAAAAAAAATATTATAAATCAATTCCTATTTGTCACGTAGGTCTTCAGCTACTTCTCTTGTTCTCACTTCACTTTCATACAGAAGCAGTGACACGTTGACCTTTTTCTAATGCTGACTAAACCTCAAAAATGTTTTTCCAACTAATCCTCTCCTGCCTTTTATGACTTCGTTCCATCCCTAGTGACACTAGGACCCCAGATGCCTCCATAGCGTTGCTTTTGACTTTGTAGTTCGCATGAGTAGCCACTGTCATGCTTCTGCCCTGTCCTTTCCTGCTTTCCTCCTCAGCCGAGGCGCTGTGTGGTGCCTGTGCTTCCGGCAGGGGCATCCACCCTTCATGTCCTCTGTTCCGTTGCTTTCTCATGACAAAGTCCATCCTGCTTCAGTCTCAGCAACGCCTGGCCTATGACTCTGTGAAGTGTGCGTTTGGGTGTAATTGTGTTTGTGTATGTATCTACCTTAGGGGGAAAAATGGTTCCATAATTTCATGAAACAAATGGGCCTATTAAATTTTGCTACTGTTTGAAACAAAACCCAAAAATGTGCTATTTGGACAAAGTGGTAGATTTTGATACCTCAAAGCTGATAATGGAAATTCTATGGTTAGAAATTGATAGAACTTCAGATCTTGGTGGAAAATTAAGATTTTGCAATATTTTGTTCTTACTTTCCCTTCTGTATTTGTTGTAGCTATAAATAGATGATAGTGATATACCCAAATAAAAATGTGGGTCTAGCTGGGAAAGGGTGCTGCTAGATCAGTGAGCTGCACCCAGCTGTCAAAGCTTCTAAAGCTGAAGAAAGATGATCCCTACTTGCCCACTGTTAATTTGATACCATGTGATAATACACGGTGGTTATTGGTGATACAAGTCAGTGAATACACTTTCTGCTGGTTTTAAATGACAGATACTGAAATCAAAATAAGCATCAAACAAGAAAACACAGATGTAAATGTGATTTGCAACAAGGATTCCGTTACTGAAGAGGATTTGGATGTTTTTAAACAGGCCCAGGAACTTTCTTGGGAGGTAAGGTGGGAACACCACACTACAGAAGTAAGAATGATGTCTGACTCTTAAGTGTTACTATGAAATTACCACTTTAGTTTATGGAGCCACCTCCTCAGTCTTTTATTTAATGCTTATCATGCTCATTCATAATGAATACACCTTCAAAAGCAGTAAGTTTGCAGAGTTCCACTCTTTAAAAGTAGAGGAGGATTCCGTTGTAACAAAATCAGACCAGAGTAGCAGCAGTAGTTGCAAATTTTGAAAGGTGTTTCTACATGTGAAAGAATAGTTTTTTAGGAGGGGTAGAGAATAGTTTGGGGATTTTTTTCCATCTAAATTTAGAAAATAACAGGTTTTTTAACTTTAATGAAAAAGAACATTGCTTTTAAATTTATTGATGTTTCTTACAACACAGATGGTTGACTATATAAAATGTCTTATTTTTTTGTTGCTTTGGCATTAATAAAAGCAGTGTTGTATTTCTTGATAAGTTGTAGTCATTTTCATTATCCAGTAATTTCTTTATATTATCCCACTTAAAATATAACTTGACTAAGGCTGTTGTCTTCAAGATATTGAAAAGTAAAGAAAATAGACTTTTCAAATACAAATATATTATGGATGGTGAATTTCCTGGGTCAGTAGACTACAGTTGATTCCTACGGCACAATAGTGAGAGTCCCTATCCCACTCTACTTCTTTTAGAGGTATGGCTTCTCTATAGCCTAATAAGCTTTGTTTTTAATAGTATCTTAATGCTAATTTCCTACCTCGAGACAATTGGAAATTTTAATTCTTATTCTTCATTATTTTTCTGTTGGAACAATTTCTATTTTTTTCTTTGGCTAAGGTAAGTGTCAAAACATCCCCCAAATCATTAAGGTTCCATGGCCTTAAATATTTTGGTTTTCGTTTTTATCTGCCAATGATATTTACATATTGATGCAGTGATCAGGCTATTACCTGAAGTACACATCTAAATATGAAGCACTTTTCATTTTAACATGGGTGGCTGGGTTTTTACATGAAAAAATACTTATTATCCATCAGGCATTGCCCTAGGTATTGTAGATGCCACAGGACCCAAGCAGGCATAATTCTTAGCCTAATGTAGCTTACTGGTTTTGCATCTTTGTCCTCCACAAAGGAAAGGGAAGCTCTGGTGGTGTAGTCCACAGTGATGTGCGATGCAAACTCCCAGGCTGTGCATATTCTGTGGCTCAAATCCACCAGCAGCTTCAAGGGAGAAAGGTGGACAGTCGCCTCTCATTCCAGTTCACAGCTGTAAGAACCCGATAGAGGTTCTGTGAGTTGGAACTGACTCAACTGCAGTGATGCAAAGAAAAGAGACCTGGTGACACAGTGAATTAAGTGTTGGGCTGCTAACAAAATAGTAGTTTGAACCCACCCCACTGCTCAATGGGAGAAGGATGAGGGGTCTGCTCCCCTGAGGATTTATAGCCTTGGAAACCCAGTAGATGAGATAGTTCTACTCTGTCCTGTGGGGTCACTATGATCTGAATTGATATGATGGCACTAAATTTGGGTTTGGTAGACAGAAAATTCATAATGAAGATGAATGTTCTAGTCTCTAGATTTTTATTCTTACTGATGGAAGAACCAAAAAGTAGGTGGAATATAGCCTACTCTAATTTATTTTTTCCATTCTGACAGAAAATAGAGTGTGAAAGTGGAGTGGAGGACTGTGGCCGATACCCTTCTGTAATAGAATTTGGAAAATATGAAATCCAAACCTGGTACTCTTCGCCTTACCCACAGGAATATGCAAGGTAATGGGATCAGCCTGGTATATATAGATTTTTAATGCAATGGATGTGAGGAATGAAAAAACCTTGATACTGAAGTAGACGTTAACTGATTGTAAGAAATCAATGTTGCTAGTTGGTTCTGAGTGCTTCGCAAGCTATTATAGTCACTGTACTGTGTAAACACTTCTTAGGTATTGTAAATTTGCCCTTTAGCTTTTAAACCATGCTCTAACTCCTTCCATTAATTAGGCATATGTTCGTCTCTAGGAAACCAAATTAGAAAAAAAAAAAATTAACCAATGATAGACTTTCTTCTCCAGTTGCTTTTTTATTGTCCTAGTTAGGCCTATCCATTTTATCTCTGGGATTGTAGCATTTTGGTTTCAAGGTGTTTTATGAGTTTTTGGCCACAAGATAATAAAAGAAGGAAAAGAGAAGAAAAGGAAAATAAGTACCCTTTAGAGGCCCTTCCTCAATCTTTTGTAACTAAAAAAATCCCCAAAACCATTTGTAGCTGAATTGTTAAACTTGAAAAGAAACTCGCAACAGTTTTCATTTATCTTGAGAAGAGTGACTATGGGACTATAGAAACTTCAAAAACAAGTATGTTGGAAATGGATTTCTTCCTTCAAGTATATCAGTATACTTTATTCATTATTGTGTGTTTCTAGAGCTTTGAATAACATTTGCTCCTAAGTGAAGGTACGTGAGGTCCCTAACAAATATCCTATATCTTAAGGAGCTCGGGTAGCACAGTGAATTAAATAGTGGCCTGCTAACTAAAAGATCAGTGGTTCAAATTCACCAGCCATTTTGCAGGAGAAAGATGAGTCTATCATCTTTAACACCCTTAAAACCCTTGGAAACTCTGTGGAAGAACAGCTGTACTTTTGATATAGTGTCGCTGTGAGACAGAATCAGCTCTGTGACAGTGAGTTTGGTGAGGAGGATGGATACCTGTCTTTCCTCTAAACCTTTCTCCACTCTTTTAAACCCTAAAGACACTTAAAGTGCTTCTCAGCATGTTAATACAACTACCAGTATGGCTAGAGAACTAGTAAAAATGTTACCTTTTTTTTTTATGGTGAGGAACTAGAAGAGGACAGAAAGCTGTTTATCTGTAGAATTGATAGAAAACAGGCTTCTTGACTTTATAATCTTGCATTTGCTATGTTAGATTAATATTATACTGCAATGATAACTTTAAAATAATTCTACCCACAAGTAAAAATGAAAACAACTAAGTTCTAGGATTTCTGTGCTTCATAAGTATACAGATCGCTTAAAAAATGATACATTCACTCTGTGAATGTTACTTCAGTCACACCATTTGCTATATGTGTTGTTTAAAATGCATGGTCACCTGCCATGATGCCAACTTCATTGTAGAGTTTTACCCTAGTGGTTCGAATCCTAAACCCTCTAAGGAAACAAATGATTCGTTCACAAACTAGGGCAGGATATACTTTTTTATTATATTGAAAAATAATGTAAGTTTTTATTATTCTTTTATGACTGTTTGCTGTTTGTTTCTAATAGCAGTTTTATCCAGGCTTCATAGAATTTAGGACGGAAATGAACAATGGTTAATATTTTCTCCCTTTAAAATATAATCAATCTGATAGATTATTTGCTTTTTAAACTTTAACAGATTACCAAAGCTTTACCTGTGTGAATTTTGTCTTAAATATATGAAAAGTAAAAACATTTTGCTGAGACACTCAAAGAAATGTGGATGGTTTCATCCTCCAGCAAATGAAATTTACCGAAGAAAAGACCTTTCAGTATTTGAGGTAAGCATGTGTAAATAAAGCTCAGTTTTTTGGAAGCTAGTATTCCTAATTATTGACTATGTACTGATTTTTCTGGAAGGGTCAAAGATATATTTAATTTAGCTTTGAAATTCAGACTGCTTTTTAAAATATGTCCATGTTTTGGAATGTTTATCTAGCCAAGTTAAGCAACCATTGAGATTGATGAGGAATCCCTGCTTCATTACATTATCTTTTTTTGTCTCTCCCCCAAATCCTTGTCTACACCAGATATATTCACCAGTGAATTTATGATCTCTTCAGCTCTTTATAAATTCTACTTTCTTTGGCAGGAGAAATTAGCTTTGTTCAGCAGCTACAGCCAATGTCTGGCAGGTGCTCATTCTTCCAGGGAATTGAGCAGCTGTACATATCTCCTCAATACACAGCCACCTGTGTTTCCCTGCACTTCTTGGCAGGATGGATAATCCTTTTGGTGAGATCCCAGCAGATGTTGGAACTTCCCCCCATCTGGGAGGAAGCCACCCCTGGAGAACTCTGCTTTTCGCAGGAACCCCTTGTGGCCATGTGTCTGTCATCATTGGTTTCTAAGCAATATTTTGTGTTTTCAGAATTGATTGAGTAGCAGAAGGTCTTTGCTTCTATATTAGATTCACAGTTTCTGTTGCCACTTTCAGGGATCCAGTTTGGCTGAGTCAGTTCTACCATGAGGAGATCATACTTTTCTTTCTGGTTATCTCCAATCTTGGGGCTTCTTAATTCTCTTCTTTATTCTTTTTACTCTAGAAGTCAAGTTCTTCTTGCTGTCATGCCTTATTTTCTCCCCGTTGCCCATTTTGATGTGTTGGTTTTCACTTCTGGATGCTCTCAGCGAGCCCTCCTTTACGGCACAATGAGTGTGACTCCTTCCTTCTACAAGTAAGGCTGACTCTTTCTCTGAAAGACAGTTTTACTTTTAAGATTCTCTTGTTCTGAATTGTTCAGGTGAACCTTTATGATGCTTCCTCACCTCACAGTTCTCTTCATTTCTGACCTGTGATGTCTTACATAAAGACTTTGTATAGGGAAAGTCATGACTCTCTTACATGGACCAGGCTGGCTTGGGCCCACTTTTTCCTCAATACTTGCTGGAAATGAAAACACAGGAGACTCTAGCTGCATCTTAATGTTTTGGGTTGCTTTTTCCAAGTTCTTCCCCTGGTTATATTGAGCTCTTGGCAAGTTTGAAAAAAGAAGATAATGTTGCTAGGAATATTTGGTGTTACCTTAATTCCTGATATGGAGCTCTGGTGTTGTATTCCAAAAGGAGTTGAGCTTCTATCCCAAAGGTGGCATCTCTCCAGTGGTTTGAATCCACCAGCAGCACCACAGAAGGAAGATGAGCAGTTTCCTTCCATGTCGTTTACAGCCTTTAAAAGCCCATTGGAGAAAAAAAGAAGAGCAAAAAACCAAACAACACAACAAACCCATTGGAGGATCAGCAATGATGGCTTGATGGCAGTGGGTTGTGGAGGGTTCTTGTTGTTAATTCCCAATAAAGACACAGAGTTTCTAACCCTGGGTACTATTGACAATTCAACTGCATAGTTCTTTATTGTGAGGGTCTTGGTGGTGACCATCCATGCATTATGGAATGTTTACCAGCATCCCTGGTCTTTACCCACTAGATGTGAATAGCAACAACCTCCTCCATTTACAGCATTAAAAATGTCTCCACACTCAAAGCCAGACTGGCTTTCGTGAAGTCAATTCCTATTTCAACTCGTGGCAACCAACCTTTTATGTTTCAGAGTAGAACTAGCCTCTAGACACTGGCAAGTGTCCCAGGGAGTGGGAGGTAGTAGAGGGGACAAAACACTTCCTTTGTAGAACCATTGGGTTTGAGGAAAAGCAAAATGTAAGTCATTCCTGCCATCCTCCACCAGTGGAGACCCCCCAGGGAGCTGCTAGCAGAGGCTTAACTAGTGTCACAAGTTTGAGTTTCCTGTTGACTCCATCTTCAATGCCTTAAGAGTCTTTCTTTTTTTTTTTTTTAAGTTATTTTTAATTACTAATCAGTGAAAATTTACAGAGACTTTGGATTTCCATTCATTCATTGTTGCACTTTTCTCCCCACCCACCACTCTTCCCTCTTTTAAAGTAAAAGAAAAATTTTTTCATTGTTTTACAATCCCTCCCCCCAGGTCCACTCCACTCTGCAGTCTTCGCTCTGGACTCCCGTCATGACAAAAATGTCTAATCACATCTTAAAAAAAAAAGAAGATTCTTTCTTCTAATGAATATAGAGTGGAAATTACTGTTAGCCTTAAGTGATTGTGTGGAGTTGAGATTCTGATAAATTTGAGAGATTAACCCTCCCAGTGCTATAAACTCTCTGCTGTTCCAGGGAAGCTGCTTTAGACTGTACAGAATTGAGAGGGACAAAATCATAAAAGCAGGTTTGATAAAAATTATTTTTAAAAAAAAACTAAAGGGGTAGATATTTGTTAGGTATTAAGATTCCTATATATTTTGCAACCTATGAGTTCATTCTTAGAGTACATCATATAGGAAACTTTTCTCTAAGCATTTTCCTAAATTATAAAATAAATGAATAGTCACAAATTGATACTTTCCTGGATTCTGTTCATATATCCCTCCTGAAAGGATACCATGTTTGTACTTGCAGGACTGCTAAGAATTTTGCTTCAGTATTGTGTCATCACTGATTATTTTTCTGCTTTGCAGAATCATTCATCTCCATCTTTCCTTTTTTGTGATGTACTGCCATTTCCAAAAGGACTACAGTCCCCAATACATAAAAACTTCCTTTAATTAAAGAGAGAATTGTATCCTCTGTGCCCGTTGCCCATATTTGATTATGTTGCTATGTGTGGGACCTAGGTTTCATCCAAGGGAAATAGTTATATGAAGTCTAAAAATAATTTGTGCAATATGAGAACCCATATGGTCCACAGGAGACTCGAGAATGGTCAAGTTCATTGTTAAAGAGCTCTGGTTAGCAAATAACCATTTCCCCAAAGAAAAGTACTAGGGAAATTCTTCTTGAATCTGCTGTGCTTTCTGTTTTCAACAAGTAATTACATTTGATCAAAGAAATTGGCATCTGTGCCTAGCCTCCTGTCTATAACCATCAGTATCACAGCTTGATTCTTTTATTTTGAACAGAAGTAGACTGTAATCATGGTACTTATTGTAGGTTGAAATTCATCTCACTTTCTCTGTAAGTATTCCCAACATGGATATTTTATCTCTTCCAATTATATTTAAACTGATGCTTAGGATAAAAACAAAATGGAAGCCTCTTTTGATAATCCACACTTCTGGGGAATCAGAATAATACAGTTCATTTATTTTATTTTTGTGTGAAGCTCTTTTGAAAACAACAAAGATTAACTTACTTGGGAATTCTTTTTATATGCTTACTTTTCCTTTAACTCAAATTTATTTGGTTCAAATAAATAGAGAGGACATGCCTAATCATTTTTAACTCATAATAAATTGCAAGTGAAAATTATTCCATTGCTAGTGTTTTTTTTTAAATTTTTATTATTTTTTTTAAATTATTTATTCTTTTTATGTGTGTACCGTCAAATTGGATCTGACTGG